AATTCAAATGATAAAAATCTTGATAAGCCTGTTCCTGTGTATGTCCGCAACAGTGACATCGATGTCTTACAAGTCGTAGATTGTTCTCCATTGACTGAGCATAATAAATCAAATCACTCTCCAGTGTCCAAAGCAGACCAAATAAACACCAATGTTTATATAGAAACAAATGACTCTCATCCTGGATACTGCAGACTTCGTGTCTTAAATCCCAAAAATGAAGTTCCGCTGAACAGAAAAGGAATTGAATGTGCATCTTTGCTTGGTGGAAAACATTTCATAAGTACAAATCTAAAGGATATTGATGAGAATGCTAGAAAAATATATATATAAGCTATGATGAGAGATATAAAGTTGAACGCAAAGGCCCTGCTTTGGGAGTAGAATTAAGAGATAACATGACGACTTTAGAGAATCCCTCATTAAAAGACGAATGGGATTTTATTTGGGCGATCCCTTGTCTATGGCCTCAGTGTGCACAATCGTGGATTGAACGATGTGAAAAAAGTGAGTGGCTCCGTAAAGCAGATATTGAGAAAATCCTAGAAAATGGTTGTCACATCGTTCCTGTTGCCCATAAGAAAACGAATGTCCCCGAATCTGATATTGAATGGCGTTTTTCCTTTGCCACGACAGAAGTGGAATTGGCAAATTCGATTTTAAATGACTATCAAAGACATTCCTATGTGTTTTTCAAACTTTTCAGAAGAGCACTGATCCACAAAGATAAGAAATTTCAGGTTATTTCCTCTTATCACTGCAAAACAGTTTTTCTGTATGCATGCGAGATCTTACCTGAAACAAGATGGGAAAATCCTGGCTTGATCGATAATGACAATATAAAGAATATAAAAGCAAATAAAGATAATTTCATGATGATTCTTGAAAAGGTTACTTGGAGTTGTCTTATGAGCCTAAAAACGACAGAAGTCGCCAGGCTATTAGTTGACATGCACAGACATATGAAAATATTCTTTGAAAATCTTTCGGATTTTATTCTGAGCATCATAGAAAAGCCTATATGCATGTCTCCTCCAACACAGTACACATTAGTTTTTCCAGTTACTATGTTGATCCAGTCAATAATTGTTTATGCTCAGAAAAGTCGGGGCACGTCTGGTCTTCGGGAGTATTTAGCATTACTATATTCTTCAGCATCGATGGCATATCTCATTGATTCTGAGAAATTTACAGAAATCAAAGAAAAAACACTGACACTTTATAAAAAGTTCGAAAGAGATAAAATGTCTGTACAGGGACATATTAGCTATGCCAGTTTTCTGCTTAGATGCAACATGAAAAAAGAAGCGAAGGATGTTTTGGAAGATCTTTTTACTCAAACTGCGGGAAAGAATAACCAACTCCAAATGAACAAGTACAATGTTCTCACATTTGATGCGCTTCCACGACTTTTGATGGCACATTTGTCGAAAATCTTGTTCACAAATGCATTTAAACAAATCCAATTTCCAACTGTATCACTGGCTTACTTTGTGCGCATTTTATGTGACGATGAAGATGACATCACATCGAGGAATGAGTACTTGTTGAAATTCCAGAATTATTGCACAGCAGACCAATACTCAAGCTCTCATTGTCTTCTTGGTTTATTGTGCGAAACCAAAGAAAAATTTGTAGAAGCAGAAAAGGCTTTCATTGATTCAGGAAATTTTTTGGAAGCAATAGAGATAGCAATTATTTGTCACGTACAGAGTGTAATACAAAGTGCTTCATGCGATTCTGCAGTCGAATACATCGTTAAGGTTTGGGAAAAAATGTTTCAACACTTTCCAGTTGAAGAAGGTTTGATGTATTTAACACTAAAACTAAGATGTCCGGAAAAATCAGTAGATATGTTCAAGGAAATAAGTAAAAGATACCCCGATTTTATTCAATCAAGAGTAAATTTGGCATTTATGTATCTAGCATATGCTTCCTCTTTGCCAGTTGAGAATACGGATAGAATTACAGCATTTGGAAATTCAAAAACAGAATTTAAAAGGTTGTTGACTGTAGGAGAAAAACCTCCATCTGGCATGATTGCAGGGATTGGTCTTTTACATTTTGTACAAAACGAGTGGCATGAAGGGATAGAACTCCTGAAAAAGTACATTGATGACGACTCTGAAAACGAGTTCTCGACATCATTGCTACATGTACCAGACGAATTCCTAAAGAACGAGATAGATATCCATGGAGTGTTTCGCTGCAAGTCAAAAGCCCTTTGTTATTACATTTTAGGGAAAAGTATGTTTTGTTTGACGAAAGGAAAAGAGCGTAATTTTAAAATGACCCCGAAAAGGACCTGGAAAGTAATCTTGGAAAAAGTAACCTCTTTTCTTCTGGACAAGACAAAGTAGAGAAAAATCGAGATTCAGAAGCAGAAGACATTGAGAAGATAGAAATGAATTCAAAGGAACGAAACGCTGAAAGAGAAATAGATACTGTATTGAAAGATTTCGAAACTACTGCCTCAAGGACTTTAGTGCGACATCATTTAGTCTACTCGGATATCTATACATGATGAAAGAAAACTGGAATACAGCAGTATATTGGCTGTGTCATGCAGTGTGTGCTGAATATTTAGGGATAGACTATATTTCAAGTCTCCACAATACAAACCAGAATCAGGACTTCAAAATTACACTGCTGCTAAACAAAAGATAACGGTCTGCCTAGAAAGAGCAAGTTATCCAGTGCCTCTCGATTATTAGATCTTAGTAGTATGTTCTATACCAGTTGAACTGATTCCCGAAGTATTCGGAGATTTCACTCTAGAATCAGATAAAGTGGGGATGATATACTTAAGCAATACAGACTAGAAAGATCCAGATCAGATTAGAAAAATCCTGTTAAGGTAGTCCCTAAAACTACGAAATCCTCCAAGAGGAAATGTCGTCTATTTTCACTACAGTAATACATGTATTAAATTTAGTACAATGTTTTAATACAAGCATTTAATAGCCTTGAATAGGCTTAGTTGTTTTCAGTAAAATTACATTCAATTACTGAGTATAAAATTTATTAATGATCAATTTATTTGTTTATTTGTTACTTTTACGAGGGTTGTCCCGTTAAATCGTGGACAAGTTGTCTAGTTTGAAAAATAATCATCACTGCGTTCTGAAAGTTTCACTACTTTTTATTACATATATTATAAATATAAATAGCAATTTTCAAATAGATATATGTATAAATAAACAAATTGTGATATTTTATGTTATGTACTGTAGCGCCCTACGGCGCACGGATGATAACGTCGACGTGTCTAAAACAGCGTCACGCTTCATGTTTGCTAAAATAAAGTTGGATAAGCCCCACTTAAATTTAGAAAATTTATTGATTTACATACGTGAGTATTTATTACAAGTTAAGGAACCAATGTGGCACACTCATGCGATCTTCTGAATATTTATGAGCAAGTTACGGACAGTATTCTCACCATCAGTCAACTAAATGAGAATCTCATATCGACGGTCGACAGTGACAGTGTCTTTTACTATTACAATGGCAGTCTGTCCGCATGTTTTGTACTATTTGGGGACTCAATCAAGAAGACTTCGCTAAGAAAACGTCCATTTTATTTGTATACTAAAAATCTGGTGATATTTTTCATATTTTCGTTCTTCCGTATTCATTTAAAGTCTTTTAAAGTGTCATTAAAGCATCCTAATCTAATTGAACTGCTCTCCGGTTCGCCGTAACGTCATGAAACGTCGCCATTTTTCGTGTATTGTGTATACAACTTTTCCATTTCGAATGCTCGGGAAACAGCCAAAATTTAACCAAATGCCTTGAAAGTTTCAAAAAAACCGATAGAATTGATTAAGGGATCGAATTAGGATAATTTTCATCCTAATCTTATGTATCGAAAACTTTTATAACGAATTAATACTTGTATATTCTCTTATACAACCTGTGCACCTTCAAGCAGAATAAAATCTTTATTTTTGTATATATATTATCAAAAACATTGTGTTACACTTAAATATGACGAATAAACATTTACTGAAAATTTCAGCTTAGTGCGCCCATTACTTTTCGAGAAAAAGGCTTTGTCCACGATTTCACGGGACAACCCTCGTACATCTTAGAAACAGCTAGATACGTAACAAAAGATGTGGGGTTTTTTTTCAAGCATCATTCGGCATACGACAGTCGTCTCAAATCAATCGATATTTGCTTTTTTCTTCTATATGTTAAAAGAAAGTTGGTTTTGAGATTGAATTTGCTACTTAACACAATTAAGTCTGTAAATCTGTTCTTAAACAAAAGTTCTGCGAATCAAAATAAGAATTAATGTCTACCGGTTATTAAATTTTTTATAAAGAATATAAGGTTAGGATTCTTTGTTTTTCTGGTTCAGTTCGTTTTCATTCCAGGGGAAACTCATTATGTAAATCCATTAGTAATAATTGTACATGAAAATATAATTAATCTGTAACTTGTTTAGAATATTATCCACAACAAACTCATTAACATTGATTAAGTTTATTCCATAATATATTGACGGTATACATATCATGTTTTCATAGCCAATGTATATTTCTAAACCTGTGTTGGAAGGATTTCACTATTGGTTAAATTTGTTTGATAAAGAAATTCAGTGTTTGTTTTTTTTCAAGTGTTTTAATATTTATTATGAAAAATTCCTTAGCTACCAAATTTTATTCTTCAGCGCAGTAATTTTTCATTATTACCACAAAGAAATTTTAGAGTAAATCGTGTATTACCGCTGATAACGTATTAGTAACCAAAGAATGCCTTTAAAGTTTCTAGGTTGACATTTGAATTTAAGTCTAAAGTGTATATGCTACATAATTAAAAAGATAATAATATTATCACAGATTTATGGGTATTATACCTTTGCTCTCCGAGGTCGGTTGAAAAGTAAATAAATCAAATTCAATTGTTTCTCTTCAAAAATACGGGGAATATAGGACGGATTCTACTAACTGCATTTGAGAAAATCGTGAAAAAGTGATTGTTAGTCTTTCAAAATGAGTATTCCAAATCCGTTTTGCATCCTTATCATACTGTTCTTATTTAAAACTGGAGAAGGCTCTGCATTGCTTATGCACGGAAATTCTAATAGTAGCGATGTAATCCAAGCGATAGCTGGAAACACTGTTGGTACAACAGAAATCAAGCAAATGGTTCTGAACTTGACCGCTGAAGTGGAAAATCTGAAGAGGCAAACTGAAACATTTGGTGAAGAAAAAAAGTTGCTTCAAAACAGAATATTCTTTTTGGAAGCGGAACTAAATAAACTAAATATGTCTATGTCTCCTTCCAACGATGAATTAATGTCGTATCTGAGAGGAACTAGGCAACTAGTTCAAACTTTGGCGGCAAATGAAGAATACGACAAAAATCTAACGCTCCGACTGAATGAAGCAGAGAAGAACATGGCGATATGTATCAGACAGAATAAAAACTTGACCCAAAGATTTGATGATTTAGTGGATAATTTGTTGATAAATGATAATCATAACAAAAACTTAACTCAACAACTTCATGAAGTTGAAAATAATTTGGCTGCGAATGAAATTAATGAAAAAAAATTATCTCGACGACTCGATGATGTAGTGAATGCACTGGTGATTAATGATGAGCAAAACAAAAACGTTACTGAAAGACTTATTGAAATAATGAATAAACTGATAATAAATGACAAAAGGGACAAAAACTTAACCGAACACCTTAGTGAAGTAGTGAAAAATTTGGTAGCAAATGAAATGTACACCAAAAATTTAAGTCAAAATCTGAGTGAGACAGTGAATAATTTATATGATTTAAAGGTTCAGATGCGATACATAAGTTTATCACTACTGGATGTTCATTCTAAGACGGACAATCTCAATACGACATTGAGTAGTTTTGATGTCAGGTTAAGGGATGTCAATGGACGAACAACAAGTATGTATTCTAGCACTCCTAATTGTGCAAAATATAATTAAATTGTTAGAATTTGAATTTTAGAGACATTTTTCTTATTTACATGCCGTATTATTCATTTCAGTAGTCACTTGATAAAACTTAACGACTGATAGTTTTGGATTTTGGTGTTTAATTCTAATAATAATATTTTCAGATTAATTCAAAAAAGATTTAATAGCATGTATTTTGGACTGAATACGACATTATATAATTGATTTTATAGCTTTCAAAAAATGTAGAATAATTTGATTTAACTCTAATATTGCAGACATTACCAAAAAAGTAGCCTTTACGGCTGGTGTGAGTTCAAGCAGCACCGGCTGGAACAGCGGTACACTGGTGTTTGATAAGATCGTCTACAACATAGGAGGAGGGTACGACCCAACTACTGGTGTCTTCACATCTCCTGTAGACGGATACTTCGTTTTCTTTGTGAATGTTCAAGCTTATAGCAGTAACTCTGTATACACAAATTTAATACTAAACGGCTCGGCTAAAGTGACAACAATGGCAGAAGGTGGTCCGAACAATGCAAGTCCAAATTTGGTCGTTTTAAGACTTCAAAAAGGAGATCGCGTTTGGGTCAAATTTTATACTGGAGTTGGTGGTTATTATAGCATTCGTAGTGCTCCAACGACCACGTTTTCTGGATTCCTAATATATTGATTTAATTTTAAAAAATGATTAAAAACTATGTCTGTAAAAATGATTATCATTCTAGAACCTTTTGTATTGCTTGAAGTAATGACTCATATTTATAACTTTCATTAAGACAGTTGTACCCGCATATATTTACATTTACAAATATCTTTCTTAGATGAACCCACTGAAGAGAAAATATGTTCTGTGTGAATGTTATTTGGGGTTCAGAGGTCATAGAGCGATCGAATCACAGAGCGAGGTGATATTTCTATATATTTACATTTGCTATTGTCTTTCCTTATATGACAATACTAAAAAAATGAAATTCAATTTTCGATGACATGAAGTCGGTCACATGATCCGACTTTCTTGTGTATGGAAAGCAAACTGCACGAGACATTTGGAAAGTCTTAACTGTGACGTCATATGACGTCGTATTTATACGTTATGTTGCATTCAATAACAAGGTCTAAATACGACATTTTATCTTTGTAATGTGAATAGAAATAAAAATATAAATATAAGAAATAAAATATCATTTTTAGAGTGTCAATGGGATATGACATGAAGTCGGTACGTGATCAAATCTACTATAACGCCCTTCGGGCGTTATAGAATTTGATCACATGACCGACTTCAGGTCATATCCCAATGACACTCTAAAAATGATATTTTATTTCTTAACACTGAACAACTTGTTTTGGAATAAGTTGATAACGACGAAAAAGATAAAATGAAAAATAATGGATATTTTTCAATCACGAGATGTACAATAAATATTCTTTCGATGTGAATAAGATTTTGAATACTCTAATTAGCCTTAAACCACACTTACCTTTTTAACCCGAAATTTCTTTGGAGTTATATAAACTTAAATAAGCGATACCACCGCTTTTGACTTTAAATATTTAGAGAACTTATGAAATAGCTGGATTATTCTCAGCAGCAATTGTTCTTTCACTATATACAGATATTTCCAAAGTTGAACTGCTAAACATGAATATTTACATTTGCCAATGTCTTTATTTATATGACAATACTAAAAAAATGAAATTCAATTTTCAATGACATGAAGTCGGTCACATGTTCAGACTTTCTTGCGTTTGGAAAAAGCATACTGCACGAGACATTTGGTAAGTCTTGACTGTGATGTCATATGACGTCGTATTTATACATTATATAACACTACTGAAAGCAATGCGTATCTATAACTGTATAAATACAGGTACGGGGTCAAAAGGTCATGGATGTGCGTATGCGCAGCACAGTTAAGGTTACAAAAAGGAGGCGGGGCCTAATTTGTACGGGAAAACTTGACTATGACATCATTCAAAATATACGTCATACAACATTTCTTTAAAATACCACAAAATGAGTTTATCTGCTAATTTAACCAGTAAGAAACCATCAAACTACATAAAAACTTACTACAGCGTGTTGTTTTGTCGTTAGTTAAATCCCACATAACAAGTTATAAACAAGTCACTGATCGCAATACACTTGTCAATATGACGTCATTTCTTACAACGTGACGTAGTTTGTATGCAGTGAGAGACAGATCAAATAATATTTTCTCAACAAAATATGTATTCCCTGATTAAATAAAATATTATTTACAGATATTCTATGGGATAATAACTTGAATTTAATGTCTTCTTCACTATCTTATTAATATATTTTCTGTACATTACGTATTTAATTGACACTGCCGTATATTTGTATGCAAGTACAGTCGGAGGTTAATGTGGGGGGTCTTAATATATCGATCTAGTGCAAGGGCATACACTCTATGGATCAAAGTAAGCTTTTACATTTCAACTATAGAACTATTAAGGTATCTGAAAAGTGCTGCGATCCTGATGAAATCTTAAAAACAATTTAATTATATCAATATTTCATGCCGCTGACCAGCAAAAAATATAGCATTCGGTCATACAAGTATACTTTTAACAATGAAATTGCAAAATTTAGACAGGATCGCAGCACTTTTTAGAAACTACAATGCGTGTTGAATATATATACTAAACTTGGAAAGTTAACTTGGTTATGCCCTTGCACTAGTGATATTCATATGTAACATCAATACTTCAAGTCAATGTGCTAAAATCGCGTGACTGCCGAATCACCTGACTAGTCTAAATATGAAATATAATCGTCCTCGATATGTAGTTATTAATCATAATTACAATTATCCAATATAAATAATGTACAAAAAATAATCGCCATCCCGATTACGAATACATTTTTAAATACAAAATTTAGTCGATATTTCAATTGCGCACCTTAACTGTACTGCGTGGATAAACGTTCGACGTAATTTCCCTGTGACGTCATAAAGGGTCGACGCGCGTTCAGTGGATTACATACATGGCGTTGGGTTTGAAAAATAGCACATTTCACACGTTAAAAGTCACAATCAGGCAAATACAAATTATGAATAAGTCACAAATGTAAATATAAGTAATAAGGTATCATTTTAAAACATCTATCGGGCAATAAATACGGGTTGGTACGAGATTAAATTCATCATAAAGCCCATCGGGCTTTATGGAATTTAATTCCGTGACCAACCCGTATTTATACCCCGATAGATGTTTAAAAATGATACCTTATTTCTTAAATGTTGCATTCAAAAACAAAGTCTAAATAGGGCATTTTATCTTTGTAATGTGAATAGAAATAAAAATATAAATATAAGAAATAAAATATCATTTTTAGAGTGTCATGGGATAAACAATTTCGGGCTTTATTGAATTTGATCACGTGACCGACTCCATGTCATATCCCAATGACACTTCAATAAAGATACCTTAATTCTTAAGTGTAAACATTCAAGTGTTGGAGATAAGTGAACTTTCTAGACCTAACAATTTCTAGGTCATTGCGCATCACAACATAGTTACGGCGGCCCGTTCGTGTAATAAATGCAGTTTTACTCGAAATTTATTCGTCTCAAATGTAAATATAAGTAATAAACAACAATGTTAAAAAGTTTACTGGGAAATGAAGTTTAGTTGGTAGGTGATCAAATCTACCTTCGGGCTTCACAGGATTTGATAACGTGACCAACTAAAAGTTCATTTCCCAAAGAACTTTTTAACATTGTTGTTTATTTCTGAAGTAACTGGTTGGCTCTAAATGTTCGAAATTGGTACAATTAAATAAAAGATTGTGACGAAGTGAATTCTGATTTTAAGGAGGTTGTCTACTGTTAACAAGAGTCTAGGGAATATTTTGTTCAGTATATTTCTGGAATCTACACAAATAGCTTATAAAAAATCAAAACAAAAAATGGAGGGTTGTGTACTTCTTTAAGCACTACAGAGCAACGGCTTTTTACACTGCTCTTATGACTAACACATAAATCAATTTTCAAGTTTTTTCTGTAATACTTTTTATCCAAATGAATAATTGGATCAAACACATTTTTGTCTAAAATAGTCACATAAAAAATCGCGACAAAAAAGTCGGAAATATTTCAATAAGTAATATTGAACAAATATGTTCAAAATAATGTTCTAAACAATATGCAACCTTTTAATTTTCGCTAAACGTCCCCATTAAGGAGTTGAAGGGTTGGCCCCTAAATATTTCTTTTGCAAATAACTCGAAAACGAAAAAGAATCTCTGAATAGTTGTTGAACAAAAAATCTTTAAAATCACAAGACCTTTCATTTGATATCAAGAAAATGGGGCTGACCCCTCATATTAAGGGCCGAGAGGGGCCAAAAGTCTTTAATCGATAACTCTTTAGCAGTCAATATTTTGTTATACATTACTGAAGCAAAAATGTTTATCTCAACAATCTACAACTATATATTTTGTTCTGAATGTTGTATGGTGCATAATAAGGGGCTATAAGGGGCCAGAATGCTAAATCTTTGACGCTTTATATCTCAAAAGTCGGAAATATTTTAATAAGTAATATTGAATAAAAGATGTTCAAAATAATGTTCTAAACAATATGCAACCTTTCAATTTTCGCTAAACGTCCCCATTAAGGAGTTGAAGGGTTGGCCCCTAAATATTTCTTTTTCAAGTAACTCGAAAACGAAAAAGAATCTCTGAATAGTTGTTGAACAAAAAGTGTTCAAAATCCTTAGTGCTTTAAGATGAGATCAAGAAAAAGGCGCTGGGCACTCAAATTAAGGGCTGAGAGGGGCCAAAAGTCTTTAATCGATAACTCTTTAGCAGTCAATATTTTCTTATACATTACTGAAGCAAAAATGTTTATATCAACAATCTTCAACTATATATTATGTTTTGAATGTCGTATGGTGCATAATAAGGGGCCATAAGGGGCCAGAATGCAAAATCTGTGACGCTCTATATGTCAAAAGTGGGAAATATTTTGATAAGTAATATTGAACAAAAGATGTTCAAAATAATGTTCTAAACAATATGCAACCTTTCAATTTTCGCTAAACGTTCCCATTAAGGAGTTGAAGGGTTGGTCCCTAAATATTTCTTTTTCAAATAACTCGAAAACGAAAGAGAATCTCTGAATAGTTGTTGAACAAAAAGTGTTCAAAATCCTGAGAGCTTTAAGATGATACGAAGAAAAAAGGGCTGATCCCTAATATTAGGGGTCGTGAGGGGCCAAAAGTCGAATTTTTAAGTCTTAATGTTCAATGTCTGTTAACAGATTATGGAGGCAAAAATGTTCTTCTTTACAATCTTTATCATTATTTTAGAATGATATTCTCCATCAAAATCTTATCTCATCTTATCAAGAATCGGACGGAAGACCCACTCGTTGCTCACAAAGAGATCGTATCTAGTTATTCTTTTTTTCTTCTGCTTCCTAGACCGCAACTTTGAGGCCTCATATCTCACTCATTTCTCAACGGATTTCGCTCAAATTTTCAGAGGTTATGGACGTTTATAAACTCTATCAGAATGCGGACTAAAATTTTAAAAAGTCACTTCCGGTCTTGAGTTATTGCCCTTTTAACAAAAATTTATAGGCTTTCGTTTCCAGACAAAGGCTCAGAGACGGCTAAAGCTGGAGCAGAAATTCTACTGATTTTAGATAATAGAAGGATTGAAATTGTGCACATCGGTTTTTGTTTTTCGATTTCTCTATTCAAAATGGCGCTATATAGGGGTCAAAAATTAGAACGCTTAAAAGAACCAAAAATTACTCATATTTTGCTTTTTATCTTCTAAACTAAAAATATTTTGTTAAAATATATAGAACATAATTTGTGCAGAATTAGAAGATCTTTCAAATGATATGTCGGGAAAAGGGCTGGCCCCTAAATTAAGGGATCTAGAGGGGCCAAAAGTTTTTTCCAAATATCTCAAAAAGTATTGAGAATTTGTTATTACCGTCTTCCTTGGAAGACGGTATTGTATAGTTGAAGTTTTTTACAGTCTTCGGACTTGCACTTCCTCTCTTTTGTGATTGGTAGAAATTCATGATGAGAAAATTTTCAATTATTTCATTGGTTGAAATGCTGTTCAAGGCAAGGGAGATAACTTTCTGATGATCTATTTTTTTTAACAATTTTGCAAGATTTCCAATCTTAAAAAAAAATGACAAAACGAACAACAAAATCAGCAGTAATTATTTCTTAATAACATGATATTTTTTATAGCAATAAATAAAAAGGTCTCTTTAATTTCATTATAAATAAATTTGATAGTTATTGTTTGCAGGCTTTACAATTTGTTATTATTCTTTTCCCCTTTCTTGTTTGAAGAGTGAAAATCAGCCGAGGTGCCGAAAGCTCTCGGCCAGTCAAAGTTTACGGAGATGACCGAGCGACAACCGTGATAGGGCTAATGCCCGTAAAAAGCTAATTTAGAAATACAACATCAAGAAATTCAAAAGAATTATACGGCCTGTTAAGTATAGATCTGTTTACTGTTTAAAATTGTTGCTAAAGACGGTAAGCTTTTTTGAAAAGCTCTACTTGTATATCAAAGAAACAAAGTTGTTGAAAATATCATGCTTAATTTAATGGAGTCGTCAAAATACGTTCAGCGTCGTCACTTCCGGCCAAACCGGTAGTAGTCGGAAAACGCGTATTTTTGCCGTTTTTGACAAGTATTTGGATAACATATGTCTCTGGGAGCTTAAAAATTAATTTTCCGTGCGTCGTCGTCACTTCCGGTCAAACCGGAAGAAGCAAAAAATGGCTTATTTTTGCATTAATTAACATAGCTTTAGAAGATTCAAAGCATTTTTGGGCGTTATTTCTCATTTTTGTTAAAAATGAAAGCTACTTCCGGTCAAACAGGACGGAAGACCTACTCGTTGCTTTGCAACGAGCTTTGCTCTAGTTTTAAATATGTTACAGGTTGCTTGGGATTACAAAAGCCATGTGTATGAATTGACTTCTTTCTATTGTAGCATGTTAACGTTCACACAATGTAAATATTATGTAAGATTGACTTCTTAAGTACGATTTGGGTTGTGTACGAGTTGACTGTAAATTCTAAAATCATTATTTGTGTGTTTAAGCGTAAACGCAAAGAATAAAGAGACTCTAATAATAATGTAGATTGGGGAAAGGTTTCTTAAGGAATTTTTGTAACTCCATTATTTTCCGTTTTGTTATTTTCATTTTTTAACTTTTTTCCATTGTTTGGAACTACAAAAGTACTATTGCTAGAAAGCATTTATCTGAGGTTTTACATGCATGTAATTAAGGTCTTCCGTTTCCAACGGAAGACCTTCTACTGATTCTGATGATTAAGATTATTCTTATTATTCTTTTTTTTTCTTTTTCCTAGACGCCAACTTTGAGGCCTCATATTTCACTCATTTCTCAATGGATTTTGCTCAAATTTTCAGAGTTGATAGACGTTACTAACCTCTATCAGAATGCTATCTAAAATTTTAAAAAGTCACTTCCGGTTTTGAGTTATTTCCCTTTAAACGAAAATTTATAGGCTTTCGTTTCCAGACAAAGGCTCAGAGACGGCTAAAGCTGGAGCAAAAATTCTACTGATTTTAGATAATAGAAAGATTGAAGTTGTGCATAGTGGTTTTTGTTTTTCGATTTCTGTATTCAAAATGGTGCTATATAGGGGTCAAAAATTAGAACGCCTAAAAGAGCGAAAATTCACACATATTTTGCTTTTTAACTTCTAAACTAAAAATATTTTGTTAAAACATATACAACAAAATTTGTGCAGAATTACAAGATCTTTTAAATGATATATCGAGAAAAGGGCTGACCCCTAAATTAAGGGATCTAGAGGGACCAAAAGTGTTTTCCAGATATCTCAAAAAGTATTAAGAATTTGTAATACATCCAAGAAGCAATGTTGTTCAAAATGTCAAGCTTAATCTAATGAAGTCGTCAAAATGCGTCCAGCGACGTCACTTCCGGTCAAACCGGAAGTAGTCAGAAAATGCATATTTTTGCTGTTCTTATCAAGTTTTTGGGTAACATATATCACAGGAAGCACAAAACTTAATTTTCCGTCCATCGACATCACTTCCGGTCAAACCGGAAGTAGCCAAAATAGCTTATTTTTTAAGGTTTTGATGCAAAATTGAAATTATAAAGTGACTGGAGACGACTAAGCTCTTTGCTTTCTTTTTGCTGACGTCACTTCCGGTCAAAACAGGACGGAAGACCTTCTCGTTGCTTTGCAACGAGCTTTGCTCTAGTTTTATCTCTTTTTATGTTAACAGTGCTAAACGAATTACTTCATTACCTATTCCGTGTGTTACCCCTAATTCAAATGTTTGTTTTAATTTTACTTGTTACAATATGGTTTCCGAAAAAAATGTAGACGCATTATATCTTTATTAAGTGTCCTTGAAAAAGATTAAGCAATATATGAGATCCTACATATACAAGGAGAAAAAGATATTCCCACATTTCATGTACGTGATACTTAAAAAATATCATTTGCCCTTCATTTCTAAGAATTAAGAAACATTTGAACGGGAAACCCCAAGTACGCCTCAAAAATAAGATGTGTAAAGTAAGGGAATAATGTGATGCATAACTTTATTTAATTATCTAATTAAACATATTTGACTTGAAATTGAACCTTAGAGAGAAAAAAATTGAGCTAATTGCCTTATCGTTTTTTTAATCATGTCATTTTTATATACATATTATTAATCAAATTTACAAATTGATAAATAAATCAACTTGAAACATACTTTACAACGCTTTAAAAATTCAATTAACCATTAACTAATACAACAGATAGTTCAAACGATTTGAAAACCGAGAACGTTACAATAAAAAATTGACTTATAGTTTTGAAAACAGTCAAAGTGTATAAAAATACTAAGCATATTTCTACTCTTGGATAAAAAATAACTTAAATTTAAAACTAGCAAATATATATATATATATATATATATATATATATATATATATATATATATATATATATATATATATATATATATATATATATATATATATATATATAATAAAAAAACTTAAAACATGATCAGAATACTATTAATAGTATATATATATATATATATATTTCAGCAATCCTTTAAAAAATATCCTTGAAAAAGTAAACATTAATCCGATCGTCAGACATTTGTTTTCAATTTGTTAAAATCATACATGTGGGGAATCGTTGTGAAGATACATTTTCAAACACATATTTTATTTTTTTTCAAATTACAGTGAAATTAAAGAAAAACGCATCCAAATCATTTTTATCAAAATTACGTTGGCTTCAGCAAATTAGACAATTGCAGACGTAATAAATCTTCGTCTTCACTACTTTCTGCAGTCCATTTAAGGTACTCCATGCACCACCATATATTTTTAATATCGTTCGGGAGTCTCTCTAACGGTATATCGTCTTTGATGATGACAACAATGGAACTCTGACGCTGGTTATGGAAGGCGTGAGTAACCGCCATCTGGACGGCGTATGAGGCCCAACCACTCTCCAGAAAACATTCAGTGATCAGGAACAACACTTTTCGACTTTCATTTATACATTTCACTATCTCTTCTGCCTCCCAGTCTCCTGGATTTGAATCTCTGTCCTTAAGCCACGCCTTAATATTTAAGCTTTCTAATTTTGGGTAAAGATAACGAACAATCCAGGTATAGTCTTTCTCACTATATGACACAAACACATCATAAATGTAGTTGTTTTCTTTGTTTTGAAAATGTATACCTTTCCACCTGTTTTTAAGTCGCAGTATAACATATTCCACATGTATACGGTATCTTCGTAAAGCAGCTACTATAAGAAGAACAGACAAAGTAATCAAAATCAAAATCACAGAAATAATAAGCCATTGTTTAGTTTGGCATTCTTTATCAAATTTTCTCCAGATTTGTTCATTTTAAAATAAGTGGCTGATAGGCAATCGGTTCCCTGTACATAACGTTTTATTAATATCAGAAAATACGTGTTTTTGACTTCTCATCCATCTCAAAGACTGCATGAATAGCTGAACAAGTACAAGAGATCGGATTTCCTTCTATGTAAATTGATATTGTACTAAATGTTTCAATGATATTTTGGTCATTCCTTGAGAACCCAGATATCAAATTGTATCGCAAATGCAGATATTTCAAATTCTGCATATATTCAAAGGTATCAGGAATGTTATTGTCTAGGTTTATTTTCATTAAAGAATGATGCTGGTCTTTCAAAAGAGAAAAGGGTAAAAAATTCAATTTGTTTCTTGAAAAATCGATAGAAGAAAGATTTTCCAGATGTCTAAGTAGATTTTTCAAATTTGATTTTTCTGTGAAATCTAGATTCATGCCAATTGCATATAAGTTCTGAATACCTCGAGAATGTTGAAATAAATCTGAGTGCACTTTTTCAAAGTTATAACCAGATATGTTAAGAGTTTTTAATGATGGCAAATCAGCTTGGTCGACGTAAGAAAGTGGTAAATTTGTTTCTTGGATGTACAATTCTTGTAATCCTTCCCCAATGAGTTGGAAACTAGGTGTCCATCTTTTTACATTATGTACATAATTTTTCGAAACATCAAGAATTTCCAGAGATTTAGGCAGTGTTATATTTATAGAGAATGTTGATCTATCATATTCATAGATATTTAACTGGATTTCCCTTGTTTTTGGATTATTGCAGCACAAATTCATATTCTTCATGTTTGGTGCAAATAAAAAAGAAAGACTGCTTGATAAATCCACATTATGCAAATTATTGCGGCTAAAATCTACATACTGTAGACAATTCCATAACGTTGTATTATAGATATTAATTTTTATAGAGTTAATGCGATTCTGTTGTAAAAATAAGGCACGAACACATACATTGATGAGATATTCTGACAAAGAATCATCTAATACTATGACACCTGTTTGAACATCTTTACTGTTTTGATCCATATAAATTCTTCCAATATTGCGATGCTGGAAACATTTTAGAGAGCGCAAGGCCGGAGTAATGTCACATTTCCCACCAAAGCGAATTCTAACCTCTTCTGTTAGATATGGAAAGGAACAAAACAGATCTTCAGTAACGTCACAAAACACGTGATTCTTAAAAAGCATATTAAGATGATAAATTTTGGAGCGCCGGAGTCCTAAAAAGGAAGTATTTGTTAAACTAAAATCATTTACAATATGAAACTGTAATTCAGATAAGTTTTTTAAGTTTTCAAATGGTGTTGTAAATGAGAATCCGCTGAAAATGTCGATCTAAAGACTGGACAATGACTGAATCGCAGAAAGGGCAATGTCCGGGTAACCATCTGACTGAAAATTATTCTGATCAATTCGAAGGTACTTCAGATTGTGTATATAAGAGAAAGCTTCAGTCTCTATTCCGTTTTTATCAAGCTCACAACTTGAAAGATCTAAACTACATAAACCAGAAAGTTTTCGGAAGGCCTTGTTTTCGATTTTTGCAATTTTGTTATGACTCAGGATAATGGATGTCACAACTGATACTGCAGTCAGATTTTCAAAGAGTTGTTCTGTTAAAGTAGAAAATTTATTAAATGAAAAATCCAAAGTCACGTTGTGGTTTATTAACTCTTGTGGTATGTTTTCTGGTAGTCTGTCTGTATTGAGGCCACTACAATTCCATAGAAACCCAAAGTTTCCACATGCATCCATATATGGCACTGTTGGACATGGGTATGAAAAAACAGGCTACTAACTACAAAAAAAGAAAGGATTTTTCAACATTTTCTTTTATCTTTTATGTAAAAAGCAAAAATTAAGATTCTGATCATTTCATTTTGTCGATAAAAGGTAGAATTCAGGAAAGATTTATCACCACAAAATATCCATCACTGAGTACACCTTTCAGTGGACAACGAGAAGAATTTGGATTAGAAAACTAGGAACAGCCTTTCTCTATGGATGTAAGTATTGGAAATTTTTATTGTCCAGAGTGTAACAATGTAAATATGATGACCAGTGATAGGCAGTCGATATTAAATACCTTGAAGGATAATAATCTGAATTGTAAGTGTGTCAATTCAGTCTTAGAACTGCACATTGCTTAATATTAACACACATATGGCTCTTTATTCACCTTCAAATCTGGCGATACTGTTCCTCAAAGGTTTATTGTATATCACTGTATGTCTGTCAGCACATGGGTGCTTATTTTTACTGTATTTTATATGGTGAGATCAACATTGATGCACTTAAAATGTTTTACATACACTGGCCGCGCGGCTCAGTGGTTAGAGTGTCTGCTCTAGAGTTGCGATGTAAGGAGTTAATCTTTATGTCGCAGGTTCAAATCTCATTGGGGGACGTGGTGACCGGTCCTTTGGATGAGACTGTATAAACCTAGGCCCAATGTCGCAGTAGGCGCTGGCACGAAAAAGATCCCTCCATGCTCCATATGGCCATGATTGCTGAGCATAAGACAAAATTTGCAGCTCTCCATTGACAAGTAGTGGCGTATCCATATGAGTGAAAAATTCTCGAGTGGGACGTAAGATAATATGCAAACAATCAACCATACACTGCTTACTTATGCCAATCAGTTCAGCATTTGGTTTCTCTTATTAACTATAATCTAGTCAGTGAGATCAGCACAGCTTTTTTTTTTTCAAAATATGTTACTTAAATTATGTTCCATGTGCATGAGTTCAAAATTTGGCTGCTCAAGAAAAATGTATAATGATAATGAATTTACCTAGGACGACATTGAGCAAAGGTACGAATTTAGCATATAGCTGCCCATATATTCTGAATTTTTAAATTATTCCTATTAGTAACATAGAAGTGGCTCTTTTCTTTGTACGCCACCCTCTTGTTGAATATTTTTTTTAATCATAAACAGCTGTGATAATTACTTAGTTGCAGTGTAACATACCTACATTTAAATTATTTATCATTTGACCCTATCCTAGCTTTTCACGTACATTAATGTAAGTAATTGTACATCATACATGCTTTTGACACCTTATCAATTATCATGGCAATAAATGGCATTTTCAATCAGCTTAAATTTTCCTGTGAATTTTAACATTTTCAATTTTTACTAAAGTGTGTAATTTGTTTTATGAAAAAGTTGTGAATATAAATGAGATTTCTGTTTCCTTTCCTTGATTGCTTTACTTGAGTTAATGTATGGTGGACTTTAACTAAACATAATGAATGTTTGCGATAATGCTTTTTATGTCCTCAAGTTCATTGAGTCAAAATCTTACATGACAAATCAAAATACTCACAGAGAAGAAAATGGAATGTTCTTTGTCCTCTATCTTTCATGATTCCTCTAGCTGAAGTGAATATGATTTTTAAAACCTGTCAGAAAAAATAAATGTTACATTTATTTTTTAAAAAAATTGCTTAAAACAGAACCAATGGAAAGGCTCTCATTTTTTCCTTCTTATCTTGCAATGGATTTTTAATTTTAACTAGGGCCTAATGAACTTCCTGTAATAATTAAAAGCTGTAATTAATAGTACCAGCTGACACAACACCAGCATTTTTTTAAAACGCAGATCTGTGAGGATATTCTTCCGGAATTAGATTTCTATCTTGAAGTGCAGTTCAATTTTTTTTTCTTCAAGAGGTATAATTTGCACTAGTTCTGATTTTTAAATATACGAGAATCAAAGTTAATTTTTTTCTATTTTAGATCTTTTTTATTAATTATATATATATATATATATATATATATCGGCATTAAAAATAAATGGGCAAAGAGCCATAGCACCCTTACAGACAATAGGTCGACTAAAGGATTTAAAAAGAAATTCCTTGTTTTTATTTATAGATAAACTTGTACCTTTTCATTTTATAATATCATTTGTGGATGAGTGAAATATATGTTCATAGGAGTAAGTATTTTAAATGACAATCATATTACTTCTTCATAACTCTAATTTTGACACAAAAGATTAAGAAAATCAATGAATATAAAACAGTTAGCTATAAATTTCCAAATTTTTGAATAAAATAGTGTATTGGGACTCTTCTTCCCGAGGTACTTTTAAAGAGTAATGTGTTTATTATAAATCTGTGAAGTTATGTAAATTATAAAACATAATAAAGAAAACATACAAAAGATACACAAAGAAAAAAATTACAAAAAGAAATGGGAAAATATGGGACTCTAACTTGCAATAACAATATTTTCATTTCAGTAGTCAAACTACTGCGCCAACGAAGTCAATGGTGTTAGTCTCTAGTCTCTGTATGTTAAAATTTAAGAGAGAATACTTGCGGCTTGCTATTCTTATTTCAAATTTTGGTTTGTCAATTCAGGTAAAATAAATAATATAACAAATGTTGCTCTTTTATTCGATCAATCCATAGATATATAAGTTTACTTTACAGACAAAAAGCCACAGGACAACAAGGGCACCACAAAGCAGATTGTCTCCTGGCAAAAATAATATATCTATAAATCAAAACAGCATTTGACTAATTACATTTATTAATATATTATTCAAAATGCAAATTACGTCACTTCTTTTGGCACAGAATTGCGTTATTATATAACCTCCAACTCCATTGCGAGTGGATAATTCCTTAAAACTGACACTGTATTAAACAAATGATAAAAGAAAATTGAATACCTTCCATTTATTTCTATTAATGATTCACTTTGGCATATATATATATATATATATATATATATATATATATATATATATATATATATATATATATATATATATATATATATATATATATATATATATATATATATATATATATATATATATATATATATATATATATATATATATATATATATATATATATAATAAGATAAAAATGCTTTCTTATTTATATATATGCCAAATATGAACGAGAAGACGTTGACACATGGCAGAATGGATTAAATGTTTCAGATCCATGTTAAAATCACGTATTAAACGATTAAGGGGCAATATAAAAACCATCTATCTTTCTGAATTCAATAATCCAAAAGTGAAAAATTAATTAGAAAGATTACATGATTAGTACGAAATGGTCCTTGCTGACAAAGCTGGTAACAACATTGTCTTTGTTTGTAAGGCTTATTATATATAAATTGTATATTATGTGAACTTGGATTTAATTCTACAAGTGGTAATCTAACTTATACTCATAGTTTCCTTTCTAAGGAAGACGTTCTTCAAAATCATATGTCAATTTTGAAAATTTTTAATATTCCAAAGAATAAAAATAAATTTGAACTACCATATTAATTTATATTGGATTCCAAAACTTCATAAGAATCCTACACAGAAAGATACATAGCGGGTTCCAGTAAATGTTCAGCCAAGCCTCTTTCTTTACTCCCCACCAAGATATTAACAGTAGTGAAGGAGAAACTTTAAGAGTAGTGTGCAACAATTTATTCAAGAAGTGGTGTTAATCAGAAACTTTTGGGCAATTTGAAATCACAAGATTTCCTTAAAATCAACAGCTTAAAAACTTACGAGTTTTCAAGTTATACACAACCATTCCCCACAATAAATTGAAGTCCAGGCTTTTTGATATCATTGACAGGTGCTTTAAAAAAACGGAACTCGTAAATTTACTCACCTTGTCATTGGACATTTACAAAATTATTTTGTTAATAAAATTCTGATTGTACACACAAGTACTCTAAGTTGACATCACAAAGATGTTTGAGTTTCTGATTGACTATATTTACTTAAAATTCCATATGTAACATTGCGCCCTGCTATTAGAAGACCTATTTTTGTATTCATATGAAGCAGAATTTGTGCAAAATCTTATGGGGGAAAAGAAGGAAAACACTTGCTGTGGCTTTCAACTCGACATTTAGGTATATCGACGACGTATTGTCAATTAACAATGGTAATTTCCATTCTTATGTCGATACGATATATCCTGGTGAGCTTGAGACAAAAGATACAACAGAGTTAGACACATCTTTTTCATATTTGGATATTGTACTTGAAAAGACGTTAATTGTAATCTAACAAAAAAGGTCTATGATAAACGTGATAACTTTAACTTTTCTATCGTCAACTTCCCTTACTTAGGCAGCAGTATACCTTCATAGCCTACTTACGGAGTTTTTATATCTTAATTAATTTGATACGCAAGAACATATGTTTAATTATTGACAAACAATTTGATGAAATAAGAAGTTAAGTAGTCTTGTTTAAAGTAATAATTTCGAAAGTTCTATGGTCGATACAATGACATTGTCAGCAAATACAATTTATCATTGAGTTAAATGCTGACTCACGTTTTTAATACTTTTGTATGTCCATTATTTATATACTTAATTGAAGATGGATTTTTCTGTAATTTCCTGATCATGACAAGGGGAAAAAGGCGGGTGTGACCGATAGGCAGGGAATACGCACTCTTCCATGGCATTGATCCCACGTCTGACGTTTTAGAGGTCCGTGTTTGCTCTGCTCCTATTTTGTATTGTAAAATGGAATTTTGATCTTGAATACTGTTTATCTCCTTATGTTTCATACAATTAAGAAAATTGTATTTTTGTTTTAAATGTCAACCGTTTTTTTTCATAAAACATTCATGAGAGTCTTATAAGATGTTGATGTTAAAACTTTTATCACTTTATTTTGTAAAATGTACATAATTTCACACAGAAAAAAAGTCGTAGACAATGTTTATAACTTTTTAAAAAATGCAACCAATACTAACAAAATTTTGCATAGATATAATATAATCAATGTTCTTTAAAAATGTAGATTTTTAAATATACATCTTTAATATTAATAATATTAGGAGGATTTAAATGGTGGCTGATAAAGTCTGTCGGCGCACGGACAAAATTCGGAATAATTTGCGCATATAACTATAATTACATTTGTTTTTATTTCTTTAGTACTATTCAAAATATTAAACTCAAAATTAAATCAGTGAAATCAGAATCAAAATTTTAATAATATGTCAAAATTTCATATAAATAGCATTGGAAACAGGGATTGGTGTCATGATTTTCAAAGTGTTGTTGGAATTGAGTTTGATGAAAATGACGTCGCCAAACGCGTAACCGGCGCACGGATATATAATAAATAGTTTTGAATAAGGTTTGTACACATCAGAGACAGGAAAAAAGATTACAGAAGTGACATTACACACTAGATTTTAATAGGGAAGTTATTATTAAATGGCAAGAGATTCAATGAGAGTTTTTCCTCTATACCAAGAATAGTTACAGTATGTAAGAAGTAGAGTACTGTTTGTAAAGTAACGAAGACAATGGGAAACAATCTTGGCCACGAACTTGGCCTTAGTTAAGAGTGGTCTTTCACTTTAAAAAACATTATTGAATGTTAACAGACGCGTGTGAAGCAGAAAAAGAGATCATGACGCTATAAGAGACGCTTGCTTTCGTGCGCCGATGTACACTTACATGCTTTCTTTATTTTTTCATAATTTTCTTATTAAATGTGATATCATCATGAAATTTGATATGCATGATCACAAAATGTTAGTTTTTGTTACGACAAGAAAAGAAATTTAATTCAGCACAGAGAAAATAAACTGTTTTTTCCTGTCTACGACTTTTTGGGACAACCCTCGCATATACTATTCCATTCATTTCATGTAACAACATATTTTAGGGTATCATGCAAAAAACCATGTTCCTTATCAACAGCACTGACGAAAAGTTATAATATTTAAAATCGGTTATAATTCGATCATTAGGATACGTAAATTCTATGTATCTTGGTTTTTGTAAATATTTAAAAGAAAATGGTATTCAGGGGACAAATGAAATTATTATATAAAAGATGCAAAAAGAAAGCTAAAACTGTCGACACTATACCATTACATGTACCGATTTTTCATAAGCAAAAATTGAAAATGAAAAAAAAAAGGTTTGCTCTGAGTAAAAAGACAAAATAAATACACAAAAAGACAAATGAATAAAAGTACCTGAAAGAGACACTTGACAGAAAGAAATGCTTTTGAAATTCGAACTTCTCAAATATATATACAAAGAGCATAAATTTTGAATAGTATCGTACATGTTCAGATTCATAACAAACTTTCTGACAGTATGCTCATGGTTTAAAATAATTTGTTATACATGTATATGTACATCTATCAAAAACATCTATAACTTAATGATTCTACAAATCATATTGGTGTTTACGCATTTACGGGTTTTAGCAAATTTGATAACTTAACTATTATTAGATCATCATTTTCATGTTCTGTGGACCACCTTAAATACTCAATACACCACCATATATTTTTGATATCGTTCGGGAGTCTCTCTAATGGTATATCGTCTTTGATGATTACAACAATGGAACTCTGACACCGGTTGTGGAAGGCGTGAGTGACCGCCATCTGTACGGCGTATGAGGCCCAACCACTCTCCAGAAAGCATTCAGTGATCACAAACAACACTTTTCTACTTTCATTGATACATTTCACTATTTCTTCTGCCTCCCAATCTCCTGGAATCGAATCTCTGTCCTTTAGCCATACTTTGATATTTAAACTTTCCAATTTTGGGTACAGATAACGCATAATCCAAGGATAGTCTTTCTCATCATATGACATAAACACATCATAAATGTAGTTGTTTTCTTTGTTTTGTAAATGTACACCTTTCCATCTATTTCTAAGTCGCAGTATAACATATTCTACATGTATACGGTATCTTCGTAAAGCAGCTACTATCAGAAGTACAGACAAAGTAATCAAAATCAACACCACAGAGGAAATAAGCCATTGTTTAGTTTGGCATTCTTTATCAAATTTTCTCCAGTTTTGTTCATTATAAAATAAGTGATTGATAGGAAATCCACTTCCTACGCATAAAATTGTATCAATATCAGAAAATACGTGTTTGTGACTTCTCATCCATCTCAAAGACTGAATAGCTGAACAGGTACAAGAGATAGGATTTCCTTCTAAGTAAATTGATATATTTCCAAGAGTTTCAATGATTCTTTGGTCATTTCTTGAGAACCCAGATATCAAATTGGATCGAAAATGCAGAGTTACTAAATTCTGCGTATATTCCAAAGAGTCAGGAATGTTAAAAAAATTATTATTGTCTAGGTTTATTTTTAACAAAGAATGATGTTGGTCTTTCAAAAGAGAGACAGGTAAAAAATTCAATTTGTTTCTTGAAAAATCGATTGAAGAAAGATTTTCTAGATTTCTAAATAGATCTTTCAAATTTGATTTTTCTGTGAAATCTAAGTAAAAGCAATTCTAGAATCAAAATATCTTAACTCACTGGTAAATTAATAATTGTTAACATATTAGTCTGCATTCAGACGAATTTAACATGATGAAGTACAAATGTTGACGTTTTGTTTATTTGGGTGCAGGAAAGAAAAATCCACCAAATCATACGTCGGCGATCGCGGCAAAATGTCAAACAAATTATCTTTCTGCAGTTCCAATACAATTTGCTTTTCAAATGGCAATAATTTTTATATGTCATAAGTGCATTTTTACGTTGAGTTTACACTGATTTTTTTCTTTGAAAGCCATGGAGATACGAGAAATAATAGCATGTATCAACAAACCTGTAGGGTAGAACCTTCGCGAGCCCCACGTGAATGTCGCGGAGATCCCGTTTCTTCTTCATCCAATGATTATATTAATCTCCCAACTAAATTTTTGTCAGGAAATTTGCTTTTTAATTTCAAGCCCTAATTTTGTTTTGTTTTTTGTTTTGGTCGACTTTGTCAATGTAGCAGGCCTACCGGTCTTCCCTCTCTTACCATGCTGTTTTGTTTATGAAAACTATACGCATGCGTGAATAGCATGGAATGTGGAACCTCGAACACGTTGTGATGTATATATTTATGGGCCATAAATAATTATAAATTTTAATGAAATAATCAGAATTATTTACTTGTGAAATTTGTAATTTTCTGAATTTATGAGTATGAAAAAAATTCCAAATCCTAAAGGAAAATTTTAACAAGTCTGTTTTTGAAGAGATTGTCACTTTAAAAGGAAAGTCGTAAAAAAAAGGTATCGAATTAGTCAACAAATAATATTTTTCACAAGCATTGTACAATAGTCTACAAAATTTTATTTCCATCTTGAAATACAGATCCCCCCCCCCCAAGATATTGTTTACACGTCTAGCCAAGTGACTTTAATGAGAATCAGGGGTTTTTTCTTATTATGTAATTATACATTTTTTTTAAATAGATAAATCTAGTCAATGAACTAGGATTTTTTTTTTTTGAACATCCATCTGATGTACAAATTTTGTAACTGCTACTGAATTTTTAACATTTATTTCCTCAAAGATCACATGTTCCCCCATGGGCCTGCAAAATATAAAGCCACGCGTTTAATGGCTATTTATATAAACCAACTATATCGATATTTTAATACTTACAATAACGTTTCCAAGCATTTTACGGTCTGTAAAGGACTGGTAGATGTACTTTGCCATTCAGTAGCTTACATGTAAAAATATCTGGTAGAATCCTAATATACACTTCCTCATTGGGTCATGCTCTAATGAATTGGTGTGATACCCGGTGACGTTTTCAATGTTGAATAAAGTTTCCGCCTGATTGTCTGTCAGAGTTTAATAAACTGCGAGGGTTTTATTTTTATAGAGGATTGACATTGAACTAGTGTTGATGTCTCTCGCTAGTTTCATAATATTTTCCTATGACAGGGACAGTCGGGTATTTCTCATTGATAAAAACACATTTTTTCTGTGTTTAAATAACCCGTATTAACAAGAACCTTTCCATTTCTTTTCAGGTAGCAATTACACACACATTTCAAGTAAGAAAAGAACTAAAATACTCCTGCAAAAAAAATCAATTCATCTTCTCAGTGTGATTGGTGAACAAATATCTAAAATTAAATGCAGGAACAAACAGTCATTTTTATTATATTCTTTTTATTGTGCTTTTTATTGTGCTTACAGTTTAGAAAGTAGCAAAAAGACATCGTATAATTTGTCGAGAATGTATCTAAGCCTTTTTTAACAATATCAATATGAAGGAAACATAATTGCATTAAATAGCTTGATTTATTTTGATGTTTAGTATCTATATCTTTAAACACAATATGAAGGAAAGCTTAAGAACCCTCTCTACACTGTACACTAAAAGAGTACTGATTCTATGGTATATTTCTGCAGTTATATTTATCAATGCCTAAAAAATTGGATAGTTACAAAATTACATTATTTCCAATTTTTGCCGGAGGGTTTTACTTTTTAAAGAACTTTTTATAAAAAATCACATGTACTTATATTTCTCAATTTGTATTCGATTTAACTATTCTTAACATTTTTAATAGAACGTGTTTTCGACATGTCTTTTTTTCCATGGAAATAAACAACAATGATTTCTATTCACTGATACTGTGTTGTGTTTCAACATTTTTCCTGGGGGTAAATGCCATATATTGAGAATTTAATAGATAAGCTGAATATTTACACCTTTATCCAATATAATTTTCTTAATGTCCCAAAATATTTTGCACTGGTGTAGAGAGGGTCCTTAATTGTGACTTGCTCTAATAATTTTCAGATTTTGTTATCTCAATTAGTATAAAATAATAGAATTACAAATTTATCCTTTCAGTCGGTCAATCAATAAATATATCGACTTTAAAGAAAATCATATCAACTATAGCTTGCACTGCTCGATTGATATGTCTTTCTGAAAGGGTTATGTGTGTATAATATTACTTTAATACAATGTAATGAATTTGTTTGGTTCGAATAAAATAGAAATGAAGTCAGATGCGATCTTTATAGAGGTGTAAAAATAATGAGCATTGAGTGGTAATCTCTAATTGATAAAGTGAGGGAAGGTTTGTTAAATGTAAAAATGCACGCAATTTACTAATAATATAACAAACATAGTCCTTTCGTTCGACTGAACCATGATAGGTACTGTATACAGGGTTATTATCGCCCCGTGTAATTTTCGCCTTTTCACACATGCAAACAATTTTGCCCAATTTTAAATTCGCCCACTCATAGTTTTATTTCAGAAATTATGCTGCATTCTTTGAATTCGCCCCGTTTAAAATTCGACCAAATGAGAGTAAGGCGAAAGGGGCGAAAATAAAACGGGGGGGGGGGGTTCCCTGTATACAGTAAATCTATTTCGGATAATAAAAAAATGTAGACCTCGAACATTTAGCTCTGTCGCAAGACTTTTCGGTGAAGCTGAAATATCTATGCCTCAGCCTTCATTCGCCCACCTCCACTAACTCGTTCTACGGACATGCCTTTGTGTTATTTTATGATACACTGATTATTCTGTCATTTCTAATCAAATTAAAACATAACGATGCGCCTCTTTCAAACCTGTTGAAAATATTTTGCCTGTTTTGAATTTTGAAAGCATTCTCTTTTTATCGGTCTTTGCAAAACTTGATATGACATTAATAGAGATCAACGCAGAATACAATAACGCAATCCCGTGGGGATCCGGGTTAGAATAGGCCCTCAGTACCCACTTGCTTGTCGTAAAAGGCGACTAAATGGGGCGGTCCTTCGGATGAGACCGTATAAAACGAGGCCCCGTGTCACAGCAGGTGTGGCACGATAAAGATCCCTCCCTGCTTAATGGCCCTTTGTGCCGATTTAATAACAAATTTGCAGCCCTTCACCGGCAATAGTGACGTCTCCATATCAGTGAAATATTCTGGAGAGGGACGTAAAACAGTATACAATCAATCAATCAGAATACAATAACGCAAAATGTAACAACATATTTTTTAAGGTTACTACAGTACATTTTACGTTATTACATTTTGTGTCAAATTTAACGCAAAATGTAATAGTGCAAAATGAAATTACACGATTTTTGTTACATTTTGAGTTGTGATTTAGCAACAGGCAAGAAAACAAAATATGAGATCACATTGTTTTGCCAGTCAAATTGGATATTATCGAATTCTACCATTTGACATTGGCGTTGAAGCTTGACCAATCTTTGAAAAAAAATATCTTTGTTATAAGATTTTATAACATTTTTAGTTTAGCCTCCATATTTTAGAGGTATGTTCATTGAGACCAGTCCATTCTTTGGTGCAACATTTTGAAATTCTCAAACTTGAATTAAAGTTTAACAATGAATCAAAATTATCGGTTTATTCCAAGATAATTGTATCACAAAACAAACGATTTATGTGAAATATTAAAATACATGTAGCAAAGTTTTGAAAACTCAACTACACTGTAAAGCAGGGAAGATAACTGCAAAATGTAAATGCCTGGAAAAAATGTATCAATCGCGTAAGTTTTTATCGCCAATGCCAGCAATTTAAAGTTCATGACCTCTTTATTTTTAACTTGTAAACATCAATCAATTGGAGCGATCAAAAGCGTAGAATACGTCCTTATCAGCTTTTCCAAGACCGTATCAAAATTCACAGTCATCCGATACTTATATTTCTATGCAATTGACATCTTGGTTTTCAAGGCATGCCTCCAATAAGGAGAAGTAAGTGAAGCAGTATTTTTATTAGGTTAAATTTAGATATATTTATATATATTAAGATATCTTTGCAAAATGTTTTCCTTAAAAGTACATTTTTGAGGTTCTTAAACCTGTAATTTTCTGATACCTGTTATTTTCTGAAACCTAAAATCTTCAAGAATTGAGTCGCCCGCGTGGCGCACTGGTTAGAGTGTCTGCTCTTGACTCGCAAAGTAAGGAGTTGATCCTTATCTCTCCGGTTAGAAACCAACTGTGGGACGTAGAGACCGGTCCCTCGGATGACACCGTATAAACCGATGTTCCGATGAGCAATAGGTGCTTGCACGAAAAAGATCCCCCCATGGCCAATGGCCTTGAGTGCCGAATATAGGACAAAATTTGCAGTTCTCCACCGGCAACTGGTGGCGCCTCTCGAGAGGAACGTTAAACAATATACAATCAATCAATCTTCAAGAAATGAACTAAAATTGCATGCGTCATGCAATAAATTCTTCTATTTTGTCAATTTTCTCTTTCTTTCGAGATGTTGTTTGCTTAAATTTGGGAATACAGGGGTATCACTGTTTTTATACCAATGTTACCATATCTAAAGTATATAAATGCAAGTATTTAACACAGCCTGATAAATACATGTATGTTTTATTAACAATATAGCCTAGTGAAGAAAAAATTGAAATCGAATTCCTAAATATTTCTAAACCTCATATTTTATATACTATGTTCGTAATGTTTGCAAATACTTTTAAAAGAATAGGATATTTGACACTTTAATTAATTGTTGAGTCAAAGAAGAAAGTTTGACACCATACCATCATCATATCATTTTATATATCGTTTTATCATTAATAATAATTTGTTTATTTTTTTCAAAGTCCGTCTTTTTTACAAATGATATACAAAATAGGTTTATAAGCGATAAACATATAGAAATCCTTCAATTCAGAAGAAAGGGAGCATGTCACAACTTTTTATTTCTCTCACAAAGATCCTTAATTATTGACATTATTGCGACACAAGTAACATGAGTTCAAGTACGAAAAAGCCAATACGTGGGGTTAATTGATCCACATCTCATCCTATCGTGGTGAAGGACAGACGACCTTTTATGATAAAGATTCCCCCAAAGTTCGTGCAAATAGTACCAGAGATAGAAACACTCCATTAGAGATAAAAACAGTCTAGGGGATTTTGTCATAGCCTTTTTCTGATATGTAATAATCGTTCTATGTAGAAAAAATACAGGTCATGAAGGTCCTTGTGAAGTTGCTGTGGAATATATAAAATCTACCCCAACTTCTACTCTTAGATTGTAAATCGGAATAAAAACTTATTTAATTTCAATGTTACAGTACCGTAATCGGAGACGGCTGAAATAGCATTTGATTTTTGAAATTTCTCAAATATCTGGTTTTCCCAAATATCCTCCCAGATGAGTAAACCTTGGGTTTTCCTGTTACAATGTAGAGGATCTTCCGCTTTGTTTATCGGCAAAATAAAAGTGCACTGGAAAAATAATTGTGTCGTAGAAATTTTAATAAGTTCATTAAATATGAAAGCTATTTTTCTTAGTATCTATTTCTTTTTTTCAGGAAGGGGGGGGGGGGCAATTATAAGGCTTTTAATTGCTTAACTTTCATATTGATTTTTACCTGTCATTATGAACTTAATTAAATGCCACACACAAGTGACAAGGAAAAAGGACGACTAGGAGTTTTAAAATTGAACACGGGTTTAAACCCCTTACATTTTGCCATTGCATTTTTGTACAATCTTTAGAAACAACTATACTGAAAGGATCAACAAACGCATATTAAACTTTTGAGTTAAATTAAAACAATTATTTCGAATATGCTTTTCAGCATTTTTATTATACATTTTAACTCATCTTTAATCAACAAGTTACCAAAATTTTGTGCGATTTTGATTGATAGTTCCTGAGATATTAATATCAATATGGTGACACCCCCCAAAAATA